TTTGGTGTTGTAGTCTCAGTTGAATTGACTGGTGTTGTAGTCTCAGTTGAATTGACTGGTGTTGTAGTCTCAGTTGAATTGACTGGTGTTGTAGTCTCTGCTGAATTGATTGGTGTTGTAGTCTCTGTTGAATTGATTAGTGTTGTATTTTCTATTGGGCTGATTGGTGTTGTAGTCTCAGTTGAATTGACTGGTGTTGTAGTCTCAGTTGAATTGACTGGTGTTGTAGTCTCAGTTGAATTGACTGGTGTTGTAGTCTCTGTTGAATTGACTGGTGTTGTAGTCTTAGTTGAATTGATTAGTGTTGTATTTTCTATTGGGCTGATTGGTGTTGTATTTTCTATTGGGCTGATTGGTGTTGTAGTGTCTGTTGGATTGATAGGTGGTGTTGTAGTCTCTGCTGAATTGATTGGTGTTGTAGTGTCTGTTGGATTGATAGGTGGTGTTGTAGTCTCTGTTGAATTGATTAGTGTTGTATTTTCTATTGGGCTGATTGGTGTTGTAGTCTCTGTTGAATTGATTAGTGTTGTATTTTCTATTAGGCTGATTGGTGTTGTAGTGTCTGTTGGACTGATAGGTGGTGTTGTAGTCTCAGTTGAATTGACTGGTGTTGTAGTCTCGCCCGAACTGTTTGGTGTTGTAGTCTCTGCTGAATTGATTGGTGTTGTAGTCTCTGTTGAATTGATTAGTGTTGTATTTTCTATTAGGCTGATTGGTGTTGTAGTGTCTGTTGGATTGATAGGTGGTGTTGTAGTCTCTGTTGAATTGATTAGTGTTGTATTTTCTATTGGGCTGATTGGTGTTGTAGTCTCTGTTGAATTGATTAGTGTTGTATTTTCTATTGGGCTGATTGGTGTTGTATTTTCTATTGGGCTGATTGGTGTTGTAGTCTCTGCTGAATTGATTGGTGTTGTAGTCTCAGTTGAATTGACTGGTGTTGTAGTCTCTGCTGAATTGATTGGTGTTGTAGTCTCAGTTGAATTGACTGGTGTTGTAGTCTCTGCTGAATTGATTGGTGTTGTAGTCTCTGCTGAATTGATTGGTGTTGTAGTGTCTGTTGGATTGATAGGTGGTGTTGTAGTCTCTGCTGAATTGATTGGTGTTGTAGTGTCTGTTGGATTGATAGGTGGTGTTGTAGTCTCGCCCGAACTGTTTGGTGTTGTAGTCTCTGCTGAATTGATTGGTGTTGTAGTGTCTGTTGGACTGATAGGTGGTGTTGTAGTCGCTGCTGAATTGATGGGTGTTGTAGTCTCTGCTGAATTGATTGGTGTTGTAGTGTCTGTTGGATTGATAGGTGGTGTTGTAGTCTCGCCCGAACTGTTTGGTGTTGTAGTCTCTGCTGAATTGATTGGTGTTGTAGTCTTAGTTGAATGATTGGTGTTGTAGTGTCTGTTGGACTGATAGGTGGTGTTGTAGTCGCTGCTGAATTGATGGGTGTTGTAGTCTCTGCTGAATTGATTGGTGTTGTAGTGTCTGTTGGATTGATAGGTGGTGTTGTAGTGTCTCCTGAACTGTTTGGTGTTGTAGTCTCTGTTGAATTGATTAGTGTTGTATTTTCTATTAGGCTGATTGGTGTTGTATTTTCTATTGGGCTGATTGGTGTTGTATTTTCTATTGGGCTGATTGGTGTTGTAGTCTCTGTTGAATTGACTGGTGTTGTAGTCTCAGTTGAATTGACTGGTGTTGTAGTCTCTGTTGAATTGACTGGTGTTGTAGTCTTAGTTGAATTGACTGGTGTTGTAGTCTCTGTTGAATTGACTGGTGTTGTAGTCTTAGTTGAATTGACTGGTGTTGTAGTCTCAGTTGAATTGACTGGTGTTGTAGTCTCAGTTGAATTGACTGGTGTTGTAGTCTTAGTTGAATTGATTGGTGTTGTTGTCTCAGTTGAATTGATTGGCGTTGTTGTCTCAGTTGAATTGACTAGTGTTGTAGTCTTAGTTGAATTGACTGGTGTTGTAGTCTTAGTTGAATTGATTGGTGTTGTTGTCTCAGTTGAATTGACTGGTGTTGTAGTCTTAGTTGAATTGATTGGTGTTGTTGTCTCAGTTGAATTGACTGGTGTTGTAGTCTCAGTTGAATTGACTGGTGTTGTAGTCTTAGTTGAATTGACTGGTGTTGTAGTCTTAGTTGAATTGATTGGTGTTGTTGTCTCAGTTGAATTGATTGGTGTTGTAGTCTTAGTTGAATTGACTGGTGTTGTAGTCTCTGTTGAATTGATGGATGTTGTAGTCTCTGTTGAATTGATGGATGTTGTAGTCACTGTTGAATAGCTTACTGTTGTAGTCATTCTTGAAGTGACTGATGTAGTCGGTGTTACAGTGATTTTACAAGTGCAGGTTATGCCACCTGTGACGCTGGAGATCCAGTCTAAGTAAGCGGACACCCTTGTATACACTGTTGGTTTGTCGAGCATAGCACAGTCCGAGGCACTATAGCTGATTATACCGACTTGAGCAAACCGACCGTTACACAGCTGTACAACAAGGGGACCACCACTGTCACCCTGTGGAGAAGGTAACGATGCAAAATATATGAAATGTGACAATACCTGAGATCAGTGAGAATATTATGAAAATATAAAATGTTAAAAATGATAAAGTACATTGCTATTAGTTAACAGTAACTCCAAAAAACTCCTAAGCCCCGTGCAAATAAAACGTTTTCTTACATGGCAGGGGGCCTTATACGGTGTACGAGTACACAAGACCTTAGTACTGTCTGGCGGTAATGACGTATTCTTTTCACAGTCGTTCATTGTAATAACGTCCAATACAACTTCCAGCAGGGTATTCGATCCAGAACCATCTGATGAAAAGAAACTAAGGGCTGTTACAGAAATAATGTAGTCAGTATCACGAATTCATTATCTATGTATCTATGAGTATACAAATAGAGGATCTTATGCAGAAACACAAACATTCCTTCACACAATATACAAACTATGCGTGTTTTTACAGACACGTATACATTTCATATCACATATTATACATCATGTGTAACATAAAACCCTTTATGTATGTACAGGTTAGGCCTTTACTTGTGTGTCTCATTTTTCTCCATACTCACTGAAAATAATATCACCCCATCCAGTGGCCACAGCCTTTCCTCCAAAGGGATTGTCTTCCTCCAGTCCCAGACAAATGGGCCGAACAGTGTTACTGAAAACAAGCGACTCAGGAAGCTCCACCACAGCAATATCGTTGGCCTAAAAATGTAAGAAATGAAGATATATCATAAAGTTTTACCTGCGTATATATTATGTAATACTTTTGGTAGGAACATTATGCTTTCTGGCAGCATTGTGCATTTAGGTATCCTAATATCTATGCAAAATGACAACCTGAATTGACCCATGCTATTATTCCTACTGGAAGCAAGCAATCTTATAGATCTAAAGACATCTATGTTCCATATGTTTATTTTCATCCCAACAGTGCTAAATTACCAGTGTGGTTCTCGTATATTCAGGGTGTTCGATGTATCTCGATGCTATCATGGAAGTTTGGTTTTGCAAGAATATCGACCCATAACGCACTTCCACTCTTGTAGCCCGGTTCCTGTTTGAGTTGTGAAATTAGCTTATTAGAAGGATTATGAAGAGTATTACCAATACTGATGCTATAGTTATTCTCTGGTTTCTTCAAAACTGTCATAATTATTTTTGTTCTCATCTGTGTATCACCTTATAGATCTTACTCAATGCTATGGCTTGTCCTTATGAAACTTACTTATTTTTATCGTAAAGGCAATGAGCAGCTGTGAGAATACAACTGTCCTTGATGATGGTGCCACTACACAGATATGATTTACCCAGTATAGTGCTTATTAATGTCACTTGATATGGGTATTCCCCCACAGATGCTTTGGTGCCATTGACAATCCTCATATTGCTGACATTAACTGATGCAATCCCACAATCATCTACCGACGGAAGAAATATTCGCTTTATTAATCATGAACTGAACAGTCAACTGAACTCTACTATTTCACTTTCGTAAATTCTAAAAGTCTTCATAGAAAGAAGAATGAAATAAAGTAAACCAACCACAATAGGGTCTCCTGATGTTGCATGGTGTAGTAGTCGTTGCTGGTGATACCGAGACAGTGGTCGTTGGTTTAGGTTCTAGTGGTTGCAGGGTTGGAATGCTGCTACCATTGTTCTCCACTTGAAGGGTAATATTCTGATATTCTCTCTCAATATCAGCAATTTCCAACTTACCTACGGCACTTACATTGTTTGCCATAGTTATCGCCTCTTCTGCCATGGCTACAAGTGCTGGTACATCGAGTCCAGTTGTGTTCGTTGCAACCTGTTCGATGAATGCTGAAAGCCGTCCTCTGAGCTGTACTAGGTCGGTTTTCAGTGAGACCATCAAGGGAACGTTTCTGTTACTGATGGCTTGAGCTGCTCTTGCAAATGCATTTCTTTGTTCCTGAAGGAGATCAAGATTCCTGCGTCTTCGGCGCCCACCATTATCAACATTCAGTATATTTCGGAGAGATTCAGTTTTCTGCTTGCCCAATACAACTTCGTTGTCTAACTCATTTGTAGTTGTTCTTTGCATATTCAGTGTGTTCGCCAGACTTACAAGATCTAAAGAAGAATATCTAATTACCTTATTTCACTGATATTCCTGCTATTTCGGCATGAATACATTGCTAATTGCGTCTTTATACACACACACACACACACACACACACACACACACACACATATATATATATATATATATATATATATATATACACCCAGCTGTGGACAAAACCGTCTAGCTACTGGTAGCCAGTGTCTCTTCCCTTTTTGCACGGCGAGCCCTAGCACGGATAGGAAAAGGATGTGGGTGAGCAACAGATAGAGGAGGGGGTTCTGCAGAGTGCTAGCGTCTAGGGACTGTCTTTAATTCATTTAGATCTTGCATTAAAGGAAGTTTAATAACCAGTTATGGTAAGAATTAATAACACTGCATTACACCTGGGACATTGAAAAGCAAACTTTAGCTAAGCGGTGCTATTTCCATAGGAGATATCACAGGCGGGAAAGAACGGCCAATCTATCGGTAAGAAATTGGGAAAGCTTCACTAGTATAAGTTGCATCTACCATAGCCTCACGTGCATAGCGCCCAAAGAAATGAAATCTTATGCTTGTGCACATGGGTTATCATTATGACATCCTGCAGATACTATGATAAAGGGAAATATATTATGTTTGTGTTTGGAAAGTTAGGAAAGAGTTAACTCAAGCAGAAAAGAAAAGATAACGGACTTTAAATAGCTTCAAGAGTCACGCTACTTGTTTCATTTAATATCTCCAGCTTCCTCGGTGCCGATGAAACATGTTGGTTAAAGTTTGGACAAGTGAAGTTAAAGTCAGAGGTGGCGACTCATCATAACCCTTTTCTTAAAATACCATGAGATCCTTTGTTAAAATGATATCCGCACCTTCTGCTTATAAGCCAATTTAGAGGACAGCTTAACTCAAATATTTAGTTGGTATTGGGGCAGCAAATGTATGAGAACAAGAACGAGTCAGTGAAAACAATTACCTAAAGCTTGTTTTCTGACGACCAAGCTATAATGCAGTGTTAGTAGATATTAACACTAAAAATTATCAAACCTCTTTTTGTGCAGAGTTTGAATGAAAGGAAAAGAAAAGTACAACCAATACGTCCTTACTTTTACCTACACTCGGTGTGTGTAAGAGCATACATTTTTATACTTACTAATTGTAGAGTTGCAAGCAATTCCACCAGTGGTATTAGAGATCCAATCAGCGTAAGCGCTCACTCTGGTGTAGACCCCAGGGTTCTCGGGCAAAGCACACTCGTTCCCAAAGCTAACAATACCCACCACGGCCCATCTGCCATTACAAAGCTGGGCGACAAGAGGACCACCGCTGTCACCCTTAGAATATAATAATGTTAATAAATTTGATTTCAAATGAAAGAGATAATACTATGAGAAGAAAAATACACAAATAAATAAACTTTGAAATTTAATGGGATGTAAGGTTAATCCATAACTTACAATGAAGTGAAATCTACATCAAACGTTACCTGGCAGGTGTCCTTAAACAAGGTAAGAGCACAAAGGACATTTTCGGGGTTAGGTGGCAAGGTCACAACCTTCGTCTGACAGTCGGCTATTGTGATGACGTCCAACTCGACTTCTAGCAGAGTATTCGATAGAGGGCCCTCTGTTTTAAAGCCGATCACACATAAGCAAAGACATGATACAAGGCGCAGTCTATCACACACACACACACATATATATATATATATACATACACACACACAGACATAGTATACTATAATATACATACACAGACTTATATATATATATATATATATATATATATATATATATATATATATATATACAGACATGTATATGTATATGTATATATATACATATGTTATAGACACAAATGTTAATATATATACATATATATTTATGTATGTATATAAAACATTCCTTGTAGCATCCCGAAACATCTGACACTTTGATGGCCGCTACAGAACACGATATCATCGTGTAATGACATCAAAAAAAATAAAAAAAAAATAAAAATCTACATACATATATACATACATACGTACATACATGCATAAAATATGTATATATACATATGTGTATATCTATACGTATATGCATGCATATGTGGTTGGTTTAGCACTGGCCCTCCGGTTCATTCCAGGGAGGGTTGTTATTTATTGATATTCCATATTTCATACATATACCTCAGCACATTTGACTAAGGATATGAATTGCTAAATCAATATATATATATATATATATATATATATATATATATATATATATATATATATATATATATATATATATATATATATTTGTGTGTGTGTGATATATGTATATATATATGTATATATATACATACATATATATAGATATATATGTACACACACACACACATATTATATATATTACAGTATATTGACGTACAAACACACACATATATCTATCTGTATATATGTTTTCCCTCTCTGTCATTCACTCTCTCTCTCTCTGAATATGTATATATATTTGTGTGTGTGTGCAAATCTATCTATCTATACATGCATGTACATTTATTTATGTACATATATAGATATATTAATATGAATATGTAAAAAATATATGTATATAGATAACAATATCAATATATGTATACATACATATATCTATGTATTTATGTATATATATGTACATGTGTGTGTGTGTGTGTGTGTGTGTGTGTGTGTGTGTGTGTGTGTGTGTGTGTGTGTGTGTGTGTGTGTGTGTGTGAAAATATATGTATATAAACACATGTACGTATATTTGGACATATGTAATATATAAACACATATCTATCTACATATATATGTGTGATTATGCATATATATGTATATATATACATACATATTCACACACACACGCGCGCGCACACACACACACACACACACACACACACACACACACACACACACACACACACACACACACACACACACACCTGTGCCTTTACCTGGTTCTAAATGTTATTAGGCAGCATAATATGTAAAATTTGTTGTACTAACCAAAGAAGATTGAACCCCATCCCGTCGCTATTGCTTTCCCTCCGAAAGGAATATCTTCTTCCTGACCCAAACAGATCGGCTGAATGTTGGCGTCTCCTTGGTAATTCAGGGGATGAGGAAGCTCCACTACACCAATGTCGTTGGCCTGGAACGATTACAAAATAGATTCGATATGCGTGATTTTTGCATTGACGCTGATGTCCAAGTTTCAGCATTACGATAACACTCACCAGTGTGGCTCTGTTATACTGAGGGTGATCGATGAATCTCGATGCAGTCACGGAAGTACCGCCGTTGATATCTATCGAACCGTAACGTACTTCGACATCTGTAGCCTTATTGCTGTTGGCAGAAAAAAAAAATGTCGCGAAGGGAAGGTACCTTAAATTGTTGTCACATATTTTTAATGCATAACAAACGCACACAAAACAGTTTGTCCATCGCCAAAATTGTCTGTACTGTATATTTACCCAGAAAGATCGTAAAAACAATGTGCAGCTGTGAGAATCCATCTCTCCTTTATAATTGCACCACCACACCGATACTGTGAATTCTGTATAGTGCTCAGCACTGCTACTTGATACGGGTATTCCCCCATTGATGCTGCAGTACCATTGACAATTCTCGTGCTGGCAATACTAATGGGTGCTATTCCACACCCGTCTGTTGACAGACAAACGATACGTATATTCTGCGTGCAAATACATGATGAATATGCTTTTACATTTATACTATTTTGTGCAATTTAGTGCTCTTAAATGTTCCGCATGTACCTTCAACACTAAAAGAAACTGACCGCAGTAGAGTCTGGAGAGGCTGCAATTTGTTGTTACTGTAGTAGTTGTCACTGGTGTGACAGGTGCTGTTGTTAGTGTTGAAGCAATTGTTACCAGTGAAGCACTTGTTGACGCTGTTGTTGCTGATGAATCATTAGTTATCACTGATGTTGTTATTTCTGGAGTAACAGTTGTTATCGGTAAACCTGCTGTTGTTGCAGGAGCAACCGTGACTGCTGGCGGAGTAGCTGTTGTTGCAGGAACAACCGTGACTGCTGGCAGAGTAGTTGTTGCTGCAGGAGCAGCCGTGACTGCTGGCGGAGTAGTTGTTGTTGCAGGAGCAGCCGTGACTGCTGGCGGAGTAGTTGTTGCAGGAGCAGCCGTGACTGCTGGCGGAGTAGTTGTTGTTGCAGGAGCAGCCGTGACTGCTGGCGGAGTAGTTGTTGTTGCAGGAGCAGCCGTGACTGCTGGCGGAGTAGTTGTTGTTGCAGGAGCAGCCGTGACTGCTGGCGGAGTAGCTGTTGTTGCAAGAGCAGCCGTGACTGCTGGCGGAGTAGCTGTTGTTGCAGGAGCAGCCGTGACTGCTGGCGGAGTAGCTGTTGTTACAGGAGCAGCCGTGACTGCTGGCGGAGTAGCTGTTGCTGCAGGAGCAGCCGTGACTGCTGGCGGCGTAGCTGTTGTTGCAGGAGCAGTCGTGACTGCTGGCGAAGTAGCTGTTGTTGCAGGAGCAGCCGTGACTGCTGGCGGAGTAGCTGTTGGTACAGGAGCAGCCGTGACCGCTGGCGGAGTAGCTGTTGCTACAGGAGCAGCCGTGACAGCTGGCGGAGTAGCTGTTGGTACAGGAGTAGCCGTCACTACTGGTGCAGCAGCTGTTGTCACTAGTGGGACAGACATTGCTGTTAACGATGGGACAGTTTGGATTATCGGAGAAACACTTGCTGCCACTGGTGGAGCAGCTGTTATTACTGGTGGAGCATCCGTTGTCATTGAAGAAGCAGTTGTTATTACCGGTAAAGTAAATGGAGTCGACGATAGGGTGTCTGCAAAATACAGTCTAGATAAGTGCGTGGTCGCATCGCTATTCCTGCTATTCATACATGCAACATACAAAATGAATGAAAAGTAAAAAGCAGACATGACTACCTCCTACTGTGTAAATTTCACACAAAAATCCTCCTGAACACTGCTTCTTCTTAATTTGACGGCGTTTGTATTTTATGGTCATGTTGTTGGAGGAAATTATGATATTCTCTGGCTTCTTTGTCGTGCAGTACTTAACCCTACAGTTGAAGTGGCAAAGGCATCAGTGAAAACGAATGTTTTTTTTTTTTTATAACTATCATGTTTCGAAGTTAATACATAGTTCTGATGCAAATGTATTATCATACATATACACAAACATATATCCATATATTTAAACACAGACACGTATGTATATATATACATATATGTGTGTGTGTGCTCGCGTGTATATACATACATATATGTGTATATATGTATATATACACATACACTTATGCAAACATACATATACACGCGTGTATATATATACATATATGTATATATACACACATTTATATATGTATATGTAAACAGATGAATGACCCTATCTATATTCATCTGTACATACAAATTAATATAATTTTGTATAAACATTAATCCTGAAATAAACACAATGAACGTACTTATCTTTAACGCCATTAACCTTTGTCTTCAGCTCCAAAAATTCCTTATTACATTTCTTAGTGTTGGGGTTGAAAGTCAAGCAGGTAAATCCGATCACTGTGCCAGTAGGTGTCTGTTGCGTGCGAAAAGGGGATCAGAGGAGTAGGCAGGGAAATGGGAGGTTAGGATGCCACCGTATGCTACTTGCAAGAATTTGTACACATCCATCTCTCTCCGTAACTTTTTCTTTCTCTCACTTTCATCCTTCCTCTCTCCCTCCGCCCTTCCCCTGTCTCTCACTCTTTGATTTACTTTTCCCCCCCTCCACTTTCTGCTTGCATTTCTCTCTCTCTCTCTCTCTCTCTATCTATCTATCTCTATCTATCTCTCTCTCTCTCCTTCCTGTCACTCTTTGTTTTTATATTTTTATATCCCATTTCTACTTTCCGTTTGCATTTCTCTCTGTCTGTCTGTCTATCTGTCTGTCTGTCTGTCTCTCTCTCTCTCCTCCCTCCGCCCCTCCTGGCTCTCACTCTGTTTTCTAACACACACACAGACACACACATATGCACACACACATACACACACACACACGCACATGCGCACACACACACACACACACACACACACAGACACACACACACACACACATATATATATATATATATATATATATATATATATATATATATATATTTATTTATCTCACCTCCACTTTCTGCTTGCATTTCTCGTTTTCTCCGTTGTTTTTGCTGTATATGAGAGCAACCTGATTGTAGTCCAAGGTTAGCGTGCCGCTACACACCTGCTGAACGACTGCAGACAAAATGCCACAGGGGATTTATGTATCTATTGCTTCCCATTAATGATGGTGATGCAGATGGTGAATAGCATGAACAGTAAATATTCTAATACAATAATGATAATAATTTCACTAACATTAACGGGAAAGATGATGAGGGTGAGGATGATGAGTCAGTACCACTGACTGCAATAAAGGTAAATGTTAAAATGAACAAATTAGAAATGGTAATAATAGTTTTGAAAATAATGATAATACTGATAGTAAAAATAATGGTAATACTAGTAATATGAATAACATTGGATAGCGATAATGAGTGGAAGTATTATAATGATGGTGATGATGTTTGGAAGTATTAGAATGACAATGTTGATAATGACAGTAATAATAATCAGAGTAATAATAGCAATAATATCGATAATGGTGATAATTATGATAGTAATAATGAATATAGAAAGGATAATAAGAATGATATCAGCAACAATAACGATTATGACAATATGAGAACGGTGATATTGATAACAATAATAATAGTAACAATGATAATGATAATAATGATAATAATAACAACAACAATAATAATAAAATGCTACTACTACTACAAAAGATAATACCAATATTGATAATATTGATAAAATGATAATCATGATGTTGATGACGATGGTGATAATAATAATGATGAGGAAAGGAAAAGTATCATAATAAAATAATCATAATGATAGCTGTGATAATGATTATGCTCCATAATGACAATGGTGATGGTAAGGCTAATAATGAAGATTCAGTTTTACATCTAAAGGGATATCGTCCACTCATATTGCAATTGCAAGAACATAGTGTGATATTTCCACAAACTGTACATCATTAGGCTAAAAAATAGATTAGTTTATCTCACTATTCACTGTTGCTCCACCACCGAGTTGTCTGCTGTTAGGTCTTCTCTTCATCAATTTTGTTTTCTTGGGCTTTCTACTTCTCATTTTGGTCTCTTCTCGTTGCTTTTGTTTTTGCATTTTAGATTTTTCTCTCTTGGCTGACGGTTGTTTGCTGTTTCTGTCCTTTCCTTTTCTGTCCTTCTTTGCTTGTTTTGAATGTTCCTTTATTTTCTCTTTCTTGTGTCTTTTATTATTCCTCTTATTATTGCTCGAAGCCTCGGCTCTTCCGCTTCTGCCAGGATTTTCTGGATTTTCCTTATGATTACGCTTTGTCTCTTTATCTTCTTTCTCTTTTTCTACTCTTTGACCTTTGTTTCCGTCTTTCTCTTCCTTTCCTCCAGACTGCTTGTTTTTCTTTTTTGTGTGTTTCCTTTCTTTTTTCTCTTCTGAGATTTGCTTCTTTGGCTGAGGTCCGTTCTTATTTGTTTGCTTTCCTTTATCAAGTTCCTTTCGGTCAGTCTGCCCTTTCTTATTGCCTTTACTTTCATTGCGTTTGTCTTCAGCACCGTTAGTCTTCTTTCTATCTCTCTTACCTTTAATGATTTCCTCTTCATCCGTCTGGCCTTTTTTACTGCCTCCTCTGCGCTTGTTGTTGGTATCGTCGACTTTCCTTCTGTCCTTTTCTCCCCTCTGAATTTGGCTTCCTTCCTTCAGGCGATTTTTGGTGCCTCCGCTACCTTCCACAATATAAATTTCACACAAAAATCCTCCAGAACACTGCTTGTTCATGATTTGACGGCGTTTGTATTTTATGGTCATGTTGTTGGAGGAAATGATGATATTCTCTGGCTTCTTCGTCGTGCAGTACTTAACCCTGCAGTTAGAATGGCAAACACATTAGTGAAAACGACTAATTTCACAACTAGCATTTCTTGCAGGCCACTCGTTTCCACTCACCCACTCACACAAACACACACGCATAAACACAAACACACACACATACACACACACACACACACACACACGCATACATATGTATATATATGTGCATATATATATAATATATATATATATATATATATATATATATATATATATATATATATATATATATATATCTGTGTGTGTGTGTGTGTGTGTGTGTGTGAATATATATATTACATATATATATATATATATATATATATATATATATATATATATATATAATATATATACACATATATAGATACATAGATTTATACATATAGATAGATACATATATATATATATATATATATATATATATATATATATATATATATATATATACATATATAGTGTGTATACGTATAGTGTGTGTGTGCATATACACATTTATCTATGTACATATACACACATACAAACTCACACGGATCATATATATGTATATACACATATATGTGTATATATGTATATGTATATAGATAAATGAATCTATTCACGCTAAATTACTGTAATTTTGCATAAATAATATTCCTGAAATAAACACAATGAACGTACTTATCTTTAACGCCATTAACCTTTGTCTTCAGCTCCAAGAATTCCTTATTACATTTCTTAGTGTTGGGGTCGAAGGTCAAGCAGGAAAATCCGATCATTGTGCCAGTAGGTGCCTGTTGCGTGCGAAAAGGGGATCAGAGGAGTAGGCAGGGACATGGAAATTTAGGATTTCACCGTAGGATATTTGCAAGTATTTATACATTTTCATCGCTCTATATGTAACTCTTTTCCTCCTTCCCCTCCCTCCGTGGCTCTCACTCTTTGTTTTCCATTTATGTTTATTATCTCACCTCCACTTTCTGCTTGCATTTCTCGTTTTCTCCGTCATTCTTGCTGTATATGAGAGCAACCTGATTGTGGTCCAAGGTAAGCGTGCCGCTACACACCTGCTGAACGACTGCAGACAAATAGCCACGTGGTATTTATATATCTATTGTTTTCCATGAATAATATACGGATGACAACAATTTTACCAACATTAGTGAGGACGATGATGCTAAAGATGATAAGCAATAAAAGCAAATGTTAAGCAGATGAACAAAATAGAAATAGTGATAATAGGAATAAAAATAATGGTAATAATAATAAAAAAATAAGAAAAACAAAATAAGGGCAATATCAGTATTGGTAATAGTAATAATGATAATGATGGTGATGATGATTGGAAGTATTATAATGATGGTAATAATGACAATACTAATAATGGTAGTAATGGCAGCAATACTGATAATGATAATAATGATAATTACAATAACGATAATGATAATTATGACAGTGATAATGATGATAATGGCAATGATAATATTACTACTACTATTAAAAATGATACTACTACTTCTAATAATGATACTACTACTTATAATAATGATACTGCTGCTTATAATACTGATAAGAATAATAACAATAAAAATAACCATAAAAAAATTATTGAAATATTTGTGATGATTTATGATTATGCTCCGTAATGTCAATGGCGATAGTAAGGTCAATAATGTAATAATAATAATAATAATAATTTAGTTGATTCCATTTGTTACAATGGATATTCTTGGTGTGACATACTGTCTACTTTATTTTGCCTCTAAATTATCCCCTGTGTGCAAGGAATGGCCGGGGTTACCATCCACTGGTGGCGAGGGATTCGAACGCAGGTCAGCAAGACTGCTAGACGAGATCGCTACCGCTGCACCACACAGCACACGGTAACGATGAATATTGCAGTTGCAAGAACACTAATATTTCCACTAACTGTACATGACTGAGCTACAAAACAATGAATTTCCCTTACTGTTCACTGTTCCGTTCGTTGCTCCATTTCCGTCTCGTCTGCTGTTAGGTCTTTTTTTTATTAATGTCTTCTTGCGAGTTCTATTTCTTTTATTGGTCTCTTCTCGTTGCTTTTGTTTTTGCGTTTTAGCTTTTTCTCTCTTGGCTGACGGTTGTTTGTTCTTCCTGTGCTTTTCTTGTCTGTCCTTCTTTGCTTGGTTTGAATGTTCCTCTGTTTTCTCTTTCTTGTGTCTTTTATTATTCCTCTTATTATTGCCTCTTCCGCCTCTGCCACGATTTTCAGACTTTTTCTCATCTTTAGGCTTTGTCTCTTTATCTCCTTTCTTCTTTTCCAGACTTTGATCTTTGTTTCCGTTTTTCTCTTTCTTTCCTCCAGACTTCCTGTTTTTCTTGTTTGAGTGTTTCTTGTCTTTCTTCCCTTCCTGTGACTTTTGCTTCTTTGGCTTAGGTCCGTTCTCACTGATTTGCTTACTTTTAGGTCTCCTCCCTTTATCAAGTTCCTTTCGGTCAGTCTTACCATTCTTATTGCCTTTACTATCATTGCGTTTGTCTTTAGCATCGTTAGTCTTGTTTCTCTTTCCTTTACCTTTAGTGGTTTCCTCTTCGTTCGTCTGGCAATTTTTACTGCCTCCTCTGCGCTTGTTGTCGGTATCGTCGACCTTCTTCTTGTTATTTTTTCCTTTCTGAATTTGGTTTTCATTACTTCTCTTCGACTCAGTTTTTTTGTTGTTCACATTCGCCTTATTCTTCCCGCCTACGGTCTTCGACCTTGGATTGACGTTATTTTCAGCAAGATTTTGATTCTGACCTCGCCTGACCTGCTGTTGCTCTCCCAGTTCTCTCTTCTCGCGGGCGGAGGTTACGAAGGCTACGGTCTGTAGGTTTAAATCGCCTTTCCTTTCGTCTTGATTGTCCTGAGGAAGATGCAAAGGGCAAAGTGTGTTCATTGCTTTCCTTTCGTCTCTCTCTCTCCCTCCCTCTGCTCTTTCTGCCTTTCTCTCTCTCCTCTACCTTCCCCCCTCTCTCACCATCCCTTTCTTTGGGAGCATGTCTGTCTCTACATGTATGTCCTTTCTGTCAGCCTATCTTTCTATCTGCCTTTCTCTCTCCCTCCTTCTCTTTGCCCATCTCTCTTTCTCAGACAATCCTTCATCCAGCTCTCTCCCTCTTCCTCTGAATATTCGGTTAAAACAACTCCTCTCCTCTTTCCTCTCCCTGCCACGGTTCACCTATTCATTAATTCGTCTATCTATTTACCTTGTGCTATGCTCTTCCCTTTCTCTACACTTTTTCTTTTCTTCTTACTTCTCTTACCTGCTTTGGTTGTTGCGAAGCACTTGTCAGTATAGACACCAACAACAAGAAGACAAACCGCATATCGTCCTGTGAATTAAACAAACAGATTATTAAAATATCCCACCAAGCTATAGATATTCAGATATCAAAGAAATAGGAAAAATAAACCGTAAACATCGGTGATAAAACCAGGAGCTCAGATATGTCACACACACACACACACATGCACACACACACACACACACTCACGCACACGCACGCACGCACGCGCGCGCACACACACACACACGCACACACGCGCGCGCGCGCGCATACACATGCATATCCCCAAATATCACCGAACATCAAGGCACCTATATCCCTGGAGGAGAGGCAGCGGGAAGCTAGTCAAAAGTAAGAGAGTGCCACCCTTGTAAAGCACCATGGCACAGCTGAACGGCAAAGGGCTTTGCAGTATGCAACACTTGTTTTCATCCTTTTTTTAGCGGAACATAACTTTCCGTTCAGGTAATTTATACTAATAATGAAAATGTTATATTCCACAGTAACGAAGTATAAAGCCTGTAATCGAGAAATTTAATAATTCAAAAGGAAGTTTACCACAATATAGCAATCTTGTTACGTGTTCACTGTTTATTAATATATTTTTCTTTCACCTTTCCGGTATCTGTGATGACCTGGAGCGGAACAGGAAAAGGTTTCCTGATTCCGCCATCGTCCAGATGGCCGTCAAAAGAAAAGAAAATGTTCTCAAATTCCCAAAGATTTAGGGGATTTTTTTTTTGCCAAGAAATTGGCAAGCAAACTCAAAAAAAAAAAAAAAAAAAAAAAAAAAAAAAAAAAAATTCGGTTTGATTATTGATGAAACTACAGACTGCTCCACCGACGAAGCATGTGCCTTGGTTGTAAAGGATTTTGACAAACAAAGCAACAAAATTCAAACGGCCATGCTAGACCTCATCAATGTTCATGTTGGAAATGATGGGTCATCTGGCGAGTGTTTAACCTAATCCTTAACACCCTTAATTCATATAAAACCCCCCTTACTAACATGGCTTGCTTTGCTGCTCATGGGGCGTCCAATATCAAGGGTGCTCTAAATAGTGTGAGCAGCAGATTGAAGGTACGAATGCCTTTAATTTTTAAGTGTGTTGCTCACAGTATACATATATGTTCCAGCGAAGCGGCAAAAACGCTTCCCCTAAACTGTGAGGACTTGATTGGAAATGTTTATAACTTTCTCTGACACAGTGCTAAAAGAAAATATGAAGTTTAAGATTACCAGGCATTTGGTGGTGTCAAGCCTCACAAGTTGCTACAGCCATGTTTAAACAAGATGGCAGTGGCGGCCTCTTAAACTTTTTCTTTTTTTAATGGCATTCGACTTGATGAAAAATTGACATCAGTTTACAAAATTTGCGAGGCTCTCGACAGCAAACCAATTTATTGCTATCTAAAGTTTTTTAATTACATCTTACCTTACCTCACCAAGGTAAATTTGATATTTCAATCAAAAGGACCAACCCTTCATTTGGCTCGCGGAATTGTTTCATTTTATTTTCAAATTGCTAAATTACTTCTGTCAGCCACAAATACTACAAGCAATTAAGCTCAATAAAATAGATCATCGGCGAGGATGTCCACAGCCTCTTCCATATACCCCACTACCAAAACCATAAATTGTCTACAAAGATAAAAGACACTGCAGAGCCTTTGATCAAATCAGAAAAAGATTTGACATTGATAATTCACTATGGGGAATAGAATCAACATATTTACAGCAAAATAACAATGTTAATCCAAATATAAGACCTACAGCTCCATCAATAACACAGTTGGTCAAAGAAGTCCCAAGATTAATAATTATGATATGCATCACTCGCAGAACAGTGACGAGATATTGCATGGATAATATTTCCAGGGCAATACACCCCAATCCCTTGCCCGATGTTGTAGTGGGAGCTTAGGAGGCGAAGACTGGGACCCAATGCTGGTGAACTTCCCTGCCTTGGGACTTAGCCCTCGACTCAACTAATATTGCATGGTCTTTTTTTCCCCAACTACTTTTTCGTTTCCGTCGCTTCCCCAACCCCTACTACTATCCACTTTCTCGGGTGTGAGGCTCTCCCGATTCCCCGACCCCAGGCTCCCCTTTGACCGCGGCCACGAACACTGCAACTACTACTCCTTCCTCAATGCCTACTAGTACATTATCCACCCAAGTCAACACTCAATCTCCAGGAGACATTCCTACTCTCCCAACATGCTCAACTTCATCACCTCTTCCCCCACAACCTTCTTCATCAACTACCCCATCCTCCCTTATTACTACTTTACAGCCTTATTGTCCACCTCTCCTTAATACTACCTCCCTCAACGCTATTCTCTCTTCCACACGCCCCCGTCCTTCTGCTATCCCCATCTCTACAAATATCTAAAATACCTTTTTTTTGGCCTGGCCAAAGGGGACCGATTTTTCCTGATCCGTCACATAGCTCCTTACTCTGACAACACTCTTCTCATCCAGCAATGTCTCCAAAATCAAGTAGGCAAAGTCTCTTTCCATAGACGACCCGATCGTTCCCGTCTTGTCACAGTGACATCTGAAAACTAAGCTCTAGCATTATTAACTCTAACTGATCTCTTTGCTAACCTCATTCCTGCAGAAACTCATCCAGCCCTCAACAACTGTCTCTATCCTCCAGCAAACTGCTCTATCTACAACAAAAAATGGTCAGATTGTGGAAAAGACATACTTGCCTGTCTCATGGACTATGATGCAATATCAGTACAATGCTGTTCCATTCATGCAAGAGGTCATCATATGAATTCCACTAACATTGTTAAAATTACTTTCCGCAGACCTTCCCTTTAATGTTTACATTGATGGAAAATCCCTCCCTGTCCGACCATATCAATCTCCTCCCCATCAGTGCCAAAATTGTTTGCGTTTAGGACATCCTGCCAAACAGTGCTGTTCTACAGCCAGATGTCCTCTATGTGCCCAACCTGGTCATACTCAATCAAACTGCTCTGCACAGTCACGCACATGTGCCAACTATAGCGGGAATTTTATTCTAAATCTTCGCTGCACCTGTTCTTACATCACGAGGATCTCTTTTTCCTGACATCCACAGTATATGCTCACAGTCACAGGCTGCGTTTATGAGCAAATTGCTGAGCAACGGTGTGCATATTTTATTACGAAAACACACCTCAAAACATGTGCTCGTGTATGTGTGCGCGCGCGTGCGTTAAATACATGTATGCGCGTATTAATCCAAAAGTCATAATTAAGACCCATCAATATTTACACTCCTGTTCTTACGTATTCTCTGTTAATGTCAAAACACGGAAGACCAAACGCCAAAAACGAGTGAATCACTTACCTCTGGATCGGGATTTCACGAGGATCCATAACTCTCCCATAGTTCATAGTAAATTATGAGAGAGAAAGAAAAGTATTCAACTCACAGTTTTTGAGAGATGTGGTTTCTACGACTGTCGAAAATGGTATGTTCTACCTCGCTGTTTACAAACATCCTCGATGGTATAAAGTCACATGTGTGTTAGCATGTGCAATATGTAATCGTGCTCCGTGTACACAATAGACTGCGTTCTCCCAAACCACTTTGTGATACGTGTCGTGTAAAATGAATTGTATACTTATAAGGCCTTGACGAAAAAAACAGAGGATGAGCGATACGAGTATGTAGTTTCGACAACCCAAACTACGTAACCGAACACCATTCAGCTTTACGTCTTTGTATGTACAAAAATTTCAGATCTTCCACGTCTACTCGGAATCCTTGGATCTCCCGAGTTTCGCCAATATTTTCTTGACTAAAAAGTAATTGAAAAAAAAAAAAATGCGCGTGAAGAACGGAACAAATTCCGGAGAAACTTAGAATCCCAAAGTTGAAAAATTCAGCTTAAACGCTCTCTATTTCTCTGTCGGATATACGGGCATACACTCCGCCATTCTCCCCCGTCCTTTCTCTCTCTCTCTCTCTCTCACATAGGCACATAGGCCCTTTTTCTCATACATATGCACATACAACCCGACCCCTTTCTCACTCACTCACACATGCACACAAAAAAGCGCTTATACAGAAGGAGACGGTGGTGGTGGAAGAGGAGGAGACGAAAAGAAGAAATAGGAGAAAAAAGGAGGACCAATAGTAGGAACTGGAAGAAGACAGAGAAGAGGAGGAGGGAGAAGAGTAGGGAGAAATTATATATATATATATATATACACACACATATGCATATATACATATATATACATATGTATACACAAACACACACACACACACATATATATATATATATATACATATGTTTATATACATAAACATATATACATATACATATATATTTATATATATATGTTCGAGGTTTCCTCTCTCATTTATAGCTCAGTCTCATATGTAAATATTTCCAAGTATCATGAGCTAACCTCTTGTTCTTTTGTTTATATCCTCTGGGGAATAGATTGCAGACAAGGGGAAAATAGAAATTCAATATCTTCTTCAATATATATATTTTCATATATATGTACACAAATAATTGCACATCAAAAAGAAATAGAAACGATCCAGTAATCACTATTCCAGCCCAGGGTCAAGCGCCCCTGGGTACTGTGGACCGCGATGATATAGCCCAGGGTAAACAGCCCAGGTACGTATCCAGAGTATCCTGATTATGCAGCCAGAGAATACAGGCACGGCTTGCAAACTGTTAATGCGGCCTGGGACTCTTCCTTGTATCAAAGTTAAGGAGGCTGGAACAAAAACCCATTTGAGATGATAAAATAATAAAATCACTTGTAATGTCCCTAAAGCACTTCAGTTTCACATACACTTTTCACAAATAAACATATATATAGTATAGAAGCCTACTTACAATGTTTATCGGTGTGGAGTTCGGAGCTAAGTGGCTGACCATATAACGGCGACCACCGACCATGGCTTTCTTCAGGTTTGAAGCAGCGAAACGGGTCGTCCAGGTAAAACAAAGCACGCACGCACTCACACTTCGCACACCAAGACAACAAAATTAAGGGAAACCATCACCAAACCCTGTACAATATACATATATATATATATATATATATATATTCACATATATGTATGTATATATACATACATTTACATATATATGTATATAATTGTATATATATATATATATATACATATATATATATATATATATATATATATATATATATATATATATATATATATATATATATGTTTACGTTTACATACATATATATATGTATATGTATATATGTATATCCATATATATATATATATATATATATATATATATATATATATATATATATATATATATACACACATACATACATACATATATATATATATATATATATATATATATATATATATATATATATATATATATATATATGTATATATATATGTATATGCATATATGTATATCCATATATATATATATATACATATATATACATATATATATATATATATATATACACTAGTGTTTGTTATTCACACAACTAACGAAAAATCATAAAAATTCATCTTGAATTTGGCTTTCACAATATATGTATATATACACATATACACACACACATACAAAAATATAGGTGTGTATATATATATATATATATATATATATGCATATATATATATATATATATATATATATATATATATATATATATAC